CTGTTCTCAAAGAGGAATGGGTTCTGAAACCCTTAATTGACAGTTGTGAATGAATGTAGGACTTGCCAACCATGGTTTTCACATAGGGTTGCTAGCTGGCTATTCTAAATGAAGGTCTTTTGATTTCAGTGTCTTTAAGTCTCTGTGGGGGCATTTCAATTTTCTAACTTGGCTGCCAGTTCAGCAGTCAGTATCTTAGGTATTCATTTATTAATTTTTTTTCAGTATTAAAGTCAAAGTCTTGCTGAACTTTGGGGTTGTCAAACAGTGATTGTCTATCGCCCCTTATTTATTCATTTTACATTTTAATGAAAATAAAACTACCTCACTTTCTCCCTTCCTTTTCCTCCCCCAGACACTCCTGTTTTTAGAAAGGGACCCTTTAGTTGCTAGGGCTAGGGAAGACTAACTGCCTAGCTTTTTAGGGAAAAATTTCTACCTACTTTATACTTAAGTTTTTGATCTATTTGCTATTTCATCTCCTTTCCTTTGTCCCCCACTTCCAGAGAGAACTTGTGTCCCCCATTCTGAGTCTCTAGAGTTTGCATTTTAAATTTGTTGGGTTTCTGTTCTCAATAAAGTCTCAGTTTTCTTGAGTTTTACCAAGACAAATATCCCTCAGCTATCTGACCTCAGCTTCCAAAATCGTGTTGCTACATCTTTCCTTTAGAGTCTCCTCGCTCTTGAGTTCTATGACTTTAAAATATCTTTGTTGTTTTTTGAGTATCCATGGGAGACTTAAAGCACATGCATGTGTTCATTCCACTGTCTTTACCCATGACAATATTTCAAAGCAGCATGCTTTACAAAGACTGTGAACAAATATAGCATTACAAACTACAAAATAAATGAGTCTATAATAAGTAATAACCATTAAAATGAAACTGGAAAATAATTCAGATATCACAAGAAATTATTGTTGCATTGCCCCATAGGGAAAAAAAACTACATGCAATTTAGTTTCCGTGATTAAAAGACTTGTGGGAAAGCCATGGAAAATGACCCAAAAAAGTGATTTCCAGAACAGATTGGTAATTCTGTGAATGAAAATTCTTTAACCTTAAGGCTAAAAGATAACAGTACTATCAAGTAATGGGGACTTCCCTTAATCCAGCGGGTAACTAATGCTTCTGTAACGGAGTATCAAAAGAAAATAAGATGAGGTTATATTAAGAAAGTGGGCAATTCAACATGTGAATGGGCGTTAGGAGAAAAGATTCATTTTCTCTGAAAAAAATAAGCTACAAATTCTATTTGTGAAACAAAAGGCAGGTGAGGACTGGGTGACACCTGAGTGTCCCTTACTTCTTCAATTAATGCTAATGTCTGCCTTGTCACTGGGACTTCTTTCTCCAAGGAAGCTGAGCGCTCAGTGTCCTCTCTCAGACCCGTGGCCCTTGTGACTGCCGGCTCTTGTTCTGCCCAGGCAGGGCGAATATGAATGGTTTATGTACACCTCTTCTAAAGTCTTTAATTTTCTGCCTCATTAAAAGCAGAGGCAAAAAACAGTTTAAATGACTAAGGAGCCCTGAAAACCAAGGGAAGGCAATTAAAAATACAGGCCTTCTCAATTCATTCCAATGCTAAGAAACTATTAGTTTCAATTATAGAGCATTAGGGTAGGGCTCAGAAGAGGCAATTAGCTTATGCTAAATGAGTGTTTCTTAGTGTAGCTGAAAGTCAGTTCATTTACAGCTAGAAGTAATTGTTTAAAATAATTGTGTTCTGCTAAAATTATATTTTAAAAAAACCCTCACAAAACAAAGTACTTGTAAATTTACTTCATATGTTAAAGAGAAAAAAATTAAGGTGGCAAATATTTCTGTCTAGGCATTAAAGATAGTAAACATATTTCATAATATTTATTTATTGGTGTGTGTTCACACGCACACCTATGTGTGTTGGTACATGTGCCAGAGCATGTGTGCATATGTGGAGGCCAGAGTGAAATTTGTAGGAGTCAGGGCTCTCCTATCATGTGGGTCCCAGAGATTGAACTCAAGCAGCCAGGGTTAGCACCAAGCACCTTTCTAAGCTGAGCTATCTCAGCCTAAAGTGAGCTTCATAAATGAAATCATTTGAATCACTAAGATAATTTGTTTGTTTGTTTGTTTTTAAATAAATTGTGTGGTGAGGAGGAACATTAACATTTCTTCTTATTATGGCAAGACTGTACCCTCTTCTAGTTTTTTGTTTCAAAAATTAATCACCCATTTATTAGATTTTTACAATGTTAATATATAAAACATAAGCAAAACAAGTTTAAGGAGTGCAGTGGCAGATTTTAGTTATAAAGTGAATTCATGATTATCTCAAAATGAATTCCAGACTAAAATACTGAGTTTGCTCTTGAGATAAAATTTAACTGAACGATGCTCCATATGAAATTAATAACAAATGACTCAATAGTGACAAGAAATGTCTTGCATTAGTTGACAGATTTGTCTGGTGTCTCGGTCTGAGCTGAAGATGCTCAGCTGTTTTGGAATAGTTTGAGACAGCAGATTAGAAATATCCTTTATAATATATGTGTCCAATAAAAACATGATAACAGTTCTTACTCAAATGGTCAGCTTAAATGACTGCATTCCATAATTCCAGGACAAGAGTAATTGGTGACAAAGTCCACGCTCACTAATGCAAAGTCCTGCTACAGAGAATGGCTAGCCAGGTGTGGTCGAGTCACAGCTGGAAGCCCAGGAGTTCAAGGCTAGCCTGGACTGCATGAGACCCTGAATCAAAGAACTATTACTTAAAGAATGTTTAGTTAACTTAGTTAATAATATACTTGTTCAGAAGTTAATTTTAAATCGAAAATTCTTATGCATCTTTTCATACTTAATAGTCTTTGAAATTTTTTATGGTTCTTTTAAGTTTCATTAACACATCGATTTTCTTGTGTCTTCTTGTATGTATGGGTATCCTATATCGGTGTGCAGGGCAGGAACTGGTTGGCTGGCATTTGCCCCGTGTGACCAAATACATGTACAAAAGCCACAGAGGACATCAAATGTCCTCCTCTTCCACCCTCCATCTTATTCCCTATGACATGCTCTTTCACCGAACCTAAATTTTGCTTTCTCTGCTAGGCTGATCACTAGAAGTCTGAGTGTTCTTTCTGTCTTTGACCTCAAACCTTCACAGCTTTTACAGGAGTGCCAAGGATCTGAACTCGGGCTCATATGCTGGTGCCACAGTCACCCTTACCCGCTGAGTCATCCTCCTGGTCCCAACATGCTAATTCTCGGCATTGCATACTTGCTCTCATCTCAAAGTATCACGACATTAGTAACTGTCTAAGACTTAGTCGTTACATCCACTGGACCAACTCTAAAGGTGCTCTCATGAGCTGATGATGAGCCTCTGAGAGGGTCTGTTCAGTTAATGTTCTCTGTCTTCACTGGGCACTTTCTCCAAGACCCATAGACACAGTATTGTGCTCCAAGCAGTCTGTAAAATGAATAAATGACTATGCCTGTGATGTGCCCCTTGGGAAAGCATCTTGTGTTAGGAAGTACTTAATTTGTAAAGATGCATCCCTCAGTGCTTAACAAAAATACGGAATGTATTTACCTGTTTTTCTGAATGGCATGGATAATGTATCCATTGCCTGTAATTTGTGTTCTCTCTTCCAGTGTTTCTTAGGCTCACAGAGACATGCAGAAACATGTTTTATGTTTTTACGGCTGCCACTGGAATTCAGAGAGAGGCTTCTCATCTGCAGCAACGCTGAATATGTTTTCCTTTTACAAAATTAGATATCCTTCCTCCTACCAACCTGATTGAACAAATGACTCACTAACTCCAGATACAACCAGAAAATGTATAATAATGAGGGTAACATAGGCTTCCCTCCTTAAAAAGTAAAAGTTACTTGTGACATTTTTGCCTACTCTAGAGCTTAAATGGTGAAATGAAGCCTGTGACAGTTTTTCGGTAACTAAATGTCCCTGCTGAAAATGCAGTGTTGTTTAAGTCACCTCCAACAGGAGTCATCTGACGTCATGTAAGAAAATATCACTCCTGTAAATGTTAGTGAATTGGAAGAGTATATACCCATTAGCTCACATGACCTGTGGGTCAACAACTAAGGGTTGTGTAGTCATAGTGCTCTCCCACTAAATCTGGAGTCGGGTCACAGATAGGACTCTGGTCAGCTGTGGGTCCTATCATTTTAATACTTGCCAGGGAAAGTGGACACCTCCAAATTCACTGTTACAGAACTGTCACAGGGCAAAATCACATGAGTGATCTCAGCACGTATTCCGTGTCAACAGACTTCCTCCAGGGTGAGCAACCGAGCAGCAACTGCAAAGCTCTTTTATAAACAATTCTTTCTGGTTACCCATTGTCCATTCTGCTTTGGCTTTTTTTTTCCATAAGAAAAGTCAATCCAGACATGACTCAAAACACAGGGATTGGGTTCTAGCCACAGAAGGGGGTGCTAAATAGAAGCCGGGCGATGGTGGCGCACACCTTTAATCCCAGCGCTCGGGAGGCAGAGGCAGGCAGATCTCTGTGAGTTCAAGGCCAGCCTGGTCTACTGAGTGAGATCCAGGACAGGCACCAAAACTACATGGAGAAACCCTGTCTCGGAAAAAAAAAAAAAAAAGAATATGTGAATAGATGTCAAATGGCTGCACATTCAACACATGGCTAGAAATGCTTCACATTTATTCTGAAAACAGTGAACCAAACTTTTCTCCACGAGGCATAATCAAGTTAGTTAGACAAGTGTTCTGGCCACTCCACTGCTGGGTTCCAGGAACACCAGTAATTTGTAGACACTCGGAGCAACCCAGCTGCCTTATTTCTGTCTCCAAACAAGTTCATGCAATTGATTCTATGCTCTATCAAGAACACAGCAGTCAGACCTTGGTATATTATATTGCTTAAATCAGTAATTGAATTTCTTTCAACTGCTTATACAAATGTTGGGAAATACTTGGACATAAAGACCCTTCCGTCACATGATGTATCTCTTTCTTTCCTAAATGAAGAGAGGATGGCTGGGTTTCTATCCCAGCTTAAGCTGCCAGCAGCAATGTTGTCTGCTCAGGCTCATGGGAGGCCTGGCCCACCAGGGAAGGACGGGTTACCCGGACCCCCAGGAGACCCAGGACCCCAAGGTAGGACTACAAATGTAATATGATGCTTGCCAGATTTTTTTAAGCCTCAGTATTTATAACATGCTAATTGCAATTAAAATGTATATGTGTGATATGTATAAAATGGCTTGTTATGAACTATCTTGTTCATATTTTATTTTCTAGTGATAAATGTTATTACTACTTCAGATTTAAAACTGATATGCCTGCTACTCTGAGTTCATTTTAATAATATCCAGTCTGACAAAAAGTGCAATGCTGTCCGCTGCTCTATCATTGTTATATAGGAATCCTAGGGTTGTTTCTGTCTCCCTCTCACTGTCAGGCAAGTGTCCTCTTCAGAAAGTCTTAAAGAAACTGAAGGCAGAGTCAGGAGATTCTGCTACAAATAGTCATTTGGAGCTAACACCAATTGTGGGGAGTTTAGAGTGACTGTAGATTAGATTATAGATGATAACTTTGAAAGTATAGGCATAATCTTCTTTTCATTTGTATTCATTTCTGAGAATTTCATAAATGTATACAGTGAAATATAATGATATCTACTCCCCATTCCCCCATCCAAGTATCCCCATGGCCCTTCAACATGACCCCCAAATTCCTATCTTTTTTTTAATAACTCATTATGTCTAGTTTGTGTTACCCAGATGTAGAGTCTTCCTCTGGGACATGTGAGACTAACAGCGGACACACCCTCCATTAAGAATGAGTACTCCATCCCCAGCAGGTAGCCACTGCCAATAGTTCCCAATACGGGGTGGGGCCTGGAGGTCATCTACTCCACCTCTGCCACAATCTTTGGATAGCTTGATCTTGGGTAATTATGATAACTTTTGAACTTTAAATAATACTTTGTATGACTTCTAAAGTCTTTAAAGACAAACTTATGTTGGAAAAAAAAAAAAAGTGTCCCACTGATGACAACTTGAGAGGACAAATGCTCTTCAATTTTGCTTAAGTTATTCTGACACAACTATTCTGTAAAAATATGGTTAGCAATCTGCGAACTGACTGGACAGGTCTACACTCATGTGATTCATGAATTCTGACAGAGAAATGCCAGATTTAATAACTATGAGCCATGAGAAGCAAGATTAGAGACACTGTAGCCCTAGGCACCTCAGCTACCACCAGAGTTATTCCTAAGCATTCTGGGAAGTTCACCTTGCTGGAGTTGAATCAAATTCTACTCCAGAATCCATTTTGAATTACTGTCTGTGCGTGGGCTCCACTTGAGGACAGACAGTACAGCCCACATTGCCACGTTCCCAATTCCTGTACACAGCAGGGACAGAACAGCAGACACTAGTAAAACCATTCTCAGAATTAGCCACAAGGTCCCACTACATGAAGAAGATGGACCCCAGACACCAGGGAGCTGGTTGCCAGATTCTGGCTGAAGTCTATAATGGCTCCCGCTCAGCCACAATGCTCTGCTAGCCTGTGGAGGAAATGCGGGGCTTGGTAGCGTAGACACTTCAGCTTGAGTCCCTTGGCTTGCTAGAGGCAGTTGTCTCTGGGCATTTGGATGCAGTCAGCACGGAGATGGGGAGCAGTGGAAACTGCTTCCGAGGCATGAGGCACTGTCGGCTGCTGAAGGCTTTGCAAAGGAAGGAGATTGCTAGTCTGAGTCACGGTGAGCGTGCCGTGGTTGGAGCCTCAAGAGAAAGGCCAGTGAGACCAAAGGCAAGGCAGTAGATAAAGACCCAGTAGGCTGAGCTAGCTGATCAGAAGGTGAGAGCCATGTTGTCCCAGTGGGCCATGCTGTAAGGAGGTTGACTGCAGGGATGTTCTCACAGACTGATTACTGAAGACTGATCAGAACTTTTGCACAGATATAGATGAGTGGTCGGGGTTTGATATCCAGTCCTAGCCACCTGAGCACAGATGCTTCGATCTTCTGCAAAGATCAGTAATTCCTCTGGTTGTTCTTGTCACTGATGAGGCTTCCATTCCACAACAGACAGCCCAGAGGGAGTAGCTACCATGAAGCCCTCTTGCTGACCTCCAAACTCATGGTAAAAGAAAACCTACTACACCTGACTGTTGTGAAAGACATGAGTCACATGAAGTTAAATGGGAAGTTAGCATAAGACTTGGTCTCTCTGCTCAGTTTCAAAATCACTGTAGTTTTCTTAAATATTCATCTTCCATTTATCTTAGGTCAGGAGGTTTGACTCATAGTTGAAGAAAAGGAAAATATGTAGACTCAGAGGCAGCCTTCTGGTCGTATACACTTTTATAGGGTAGTTATTATCTTTTATTCATTGAGTCTCTTCTAAAGTCAGAGTGTATGAGAGCTGGAAAGACTTTTAAATGCCATCTGAGCATTTGATACTCAAACCACATGAAGAATAAGCCCAGTGGATACCAGTAGAAAATTTTGGATGGATCCTTCAAACCTTTGTAGTCCAAAAGAACACACAAGATGGAAAATACAGTACAGTGACCTAGTAAAACAGTTCCGACTACAGTCACCTTTCCAACACATGCTCATAGCTCTAGGCACCTTCCCAGGTCATGGGAAGCCAGTCTGGAAGGTTCTTTGTCAGAGGCAATTCTAAGTCAACAGTGTTAGTGAGGTTTCTGAAAACAAGACTCATATTCACTACATAGCCAACTGATCAAAAGATGAGGATCTTCCCTTATGCAAGAGATTTCTGTGGGTTTAGCCTGCTGCTGTGTGTACATCAGAGTATGACTTCTAATAGAGATCTGAAATGTGATTCTTGAGTTTGAAGGAATTCCCCACATGATTTCCAGTTTTCTTTAAGATAAGTTCTACAAAAATGGACAAAACTTCTGTCCCGCCAGCGTTTCTGACAACAAACACACTTAGAAGTTGATGCATCTGCTTCTGTTTCCCTCAGGGGGCTTCTGACAGTGAATATAGCTTGACTGTAAGCTGTTGATTGACACTTCAACTCTTTGTAATGTTAAGTTTGCCCGAAATACAGCAGAAAAATAAAGTTTTCAAAAGAAAGTGAGGTTTGTTTTAAATGAATTTTTCTGATAGCCAGACTGTACTGATGACCCTAAAAGCCACAAAGAAATCTCATGGAAGAAGCGAAAGAAGGGGAGAGGTAGGAGGAGGAGAAGAAACAGATGAGAAGGTAGCAACCACTGTCTGGTGTTTGCTGCTTCTCTGAGTGGGCATTAGAAATCTGGTAACAAGTAAATACGAGGTTCTCAGAGGATGGAGCCACGTATATGCCTTCAATGTTCTTCTCTATTCAGCTTAAAAGGCAGGACAAAAGCAGCCAGGCCAGCCTTTAATGCTGCTGCTGGACTAGCCCTCTTCATTGTGAGGACAGAGGTTGACAAAAGGGTGAAGTGTAGAAAGGGGCAGGAAATGTGTCTGCTGAGTGATGGCTCAGGGTGCACTGGACACTTGGAATTCTGTCCAAGGGTGGCTCGCTCTTAAGAAGTGCCTAAAGGACGTATGTATGAGTTCTTAACAGTACTTGTCAGCAAAGAAAGCCATTTTTAAAGTAAATTAATTTGAAATATGCACCACAAAAGGGGTCCTGTTATCACCTTCATTATCTTCATATGTTTAGTGAAGGATTTAAAAAAAAAAAAATCAAAGACCTTGTAAAGTGTCCTGTGCTTATTCTGCGAAGTAGGATACTGTAAAAGCAAGGAGGAAATTGATATGAGGCCATCAGAAATGTGCCCAGGGGAGGCCATTCTCCTATGAAGACTTACTAATGAAAACCCGTGGATGTTCTTCCAGTCACCCAGACTTCTTAAAGGACAGTGAATGCTTATTAGGGAAGATTCTGAAGGCAACCATTTTGTTTGTGTCCTCTGAGACTCCCAAGGGGGGGATGACTGATGTCTTGTTAAAGTCAAAAGCACTTCTATAGAAGATAGAATTGTTTTTAGCCCTTCTGCCGAGCTGTGGATGTCGCCTTCCCATTGTGCATGGAGAAAACATTGCTCAGTGTTCTGTCACTCCTGGAAGAGGTCTGTAACACAGGGCCCGATTGCCACAGCCTAAGAGCAATGGACCTGAAAAGCCTAATCCAGCAGAGTTCTTCTAAATAAATGACGACAAACTTTCCTAACAAAACTCACCTTCTTGGGTGAGCTTTTGCGGAAGAATTTTTACGAAATGTTGTTGATATTTTCAAAAAGAGGAGTTGATTAAAACCTTGAGAAATCGGTTGGCACACTTAAATGCCTCTCTCATTTCAGAAAAAATCTCACATGTAGAGTTACTAGAAGATAATGAGGAGGAGGACTGGGAGGAAGAAGAAGAGGAGGAAGAGGGGGAAGAGGAGGGTGTAGTCTACATATCCACCCCCACCAATTTTAACAAGACAATACTGGGAATCACTGCTCTTCTTTTTGAGCTTTTAAAGTTTGGGTATCATTAGCTTCTAAATCAAGGAAAACCTTTTTCCCCTGTTTTTAATCCAGTGGCCCATATAGGACAGTTGATAGCCCTAGGATAGTTCTGACCTATCAAAACCATTAGCAATGAAGACCTTTAGAAATAAGAGGACAAGATTGTAAGTAGAAATGGCTGAAGGGCTCAGCAGTCAGTTAGTGAACCAGAACCAGGGAAACTGAATGTGTGTGTGTGTGTGTGTGTGTGTGTCCATATGAATGCAATGCCCTCAGAAGCCAGAACTATTTTCTGAGTTCATGTTGTGTATGCTGCTTCTTCAATCATCATGTATTAATTTCCATTTCACATTTATCATACATTAAACGTAAGTACCAAGTTGGTACAATAAAGCATGGAGGATCTTGCAAATACACAGCTGATATATAAAGTTCCAACAAACTAAGCTTTTGATAGTGAGATTTTTGGCTCTATAGGTAATACTTAAATGCATTGTCCATATCTTCTCTTCTATGTTTATGCTAAGTGTGTGATCCCTCTTCAACAGAAATTCTGGTGGGAATCTAGGTACAGGAAATAGGAAAGATGTATACAGAAAGAATTCTGTTTTGTATGAGAACAAGATAGCATAAGAATACAGACTTTATTAAATGAAATAAATAATCAATAATAATTAACTGAAATAAAAGGAGATTGGTAGAATACTAATTGGGGTCAAATCAGTTAAGATAACAACACAAAATGCTTTACTATGACAGTTTATAAATGGAAAGCACCAAAAATTTTAACAATGCTAGAATATAAGAGATTGAAAAGTCCCCAAAGTACTGTCAATGTGTTATTAGAGATTTATTATTATTATTATTATTATT